CTTATCAAGTGAGCAATAAGGCATAATAATCCATGCCTCAGCACAGCAGCTCACTGAGCCCTTAATAAGTATCGAAACCAAAATGGTCAGCGATGTACGGTGCAAAGAATTCCTTCCCTCCCTCTCAGCCAGAAACCTTAAACATCGTTTTTGTGCTTCAAAGGCTAGGACACTTCTTGCTAATAGTAATAAAGTAAAAACAAGCAAGCAACAAACTGAATTATTTATTTGTTTATTTGTCAAATTTGTCTGTATTTTCAATGAAACCATCAGTCTTTTGGCCAGTTTCCAATTTCAAACCCTGTGCTAAATAACCTGAATCTTTCTGTCTCGCCAAGTGTAATTTATCCTCATTCATTATTTGTTGGCTGTGTGAACAGGTGCACAGCAGAAAAAGTTAATCTTATACCTTCATTACCACCCTGGTTGGCTTTGAAGCACCTCGGGCTCTGCAGATACAACACAAACAACTGGATTTGTCCAGGTGCAACAGTTAAATGCAGCAGAAAGGAACTCAACTGGGTTGTTTTTAAAATGCATACATACAGACAAAGATCCTGAGAAACACACAAACTACAGCAAGACAATTCTAATCCTGCCCAGAGGTCCAAAAGACATTTCAATATGGAAGATGCAAAAACATCACTTCAAGTGCTTTTTGGTTACATTTTTAAAATGCTGTTAATTTAAACCTCTCTGTTGAACGTGATCAATTTCTAATTTCTTTGAGTAAATATGATATAGTTTGAAAGGCAATGTATGAAATGTTTCATCTCTTTTAGCAAATACATACAACCTTCTTGATTTGTGCTGTGCAAGTCCTGCTCGACAAAGAGCACTCATGCAACAGAAAGGCCACACACTCTCAGGAAACTAAAATAATAGATTTCATCTCTCTCTATAGTCGTAAAGCCACTAGTTGACAGTGCTATCAATTTGAATGGCTCAGCCAATTTCAATGCCCACCTTAGTTTGATGACAGGGGCACAATTTGAGCTATAATGCTTACCTAAAAAAGACAGGCACGTGGAAATCTTTTATTTAAGAATAGATAATTCATATAAGCCCTCCAAACATTCTAATCAATTGCATCTGTCTAGAAAGACAGCCTCCCCAAACTGATGCTCTCCAGGTGTGGAGGACTGTATATTCATTCTTGGCCAACCAGCACAGCCATCCTTTAGGGGGATGATGGAAATAGTGATTGAACACATCTAGAACTTGGGGAAAGTTGTACAAATGGACAGCATGGAAAATTCACTTGGATTCAATATTTCTCTGTGCATTCCGCTTCTACAGTACGCTGAATGTCATGACAATACTGACCAGCAATTTATTACCATATTTAAAGGGACATCTTTCTGTACTTAAAGAACAAATTGAGTGGCCTAGGACTAAAGCAGGGAGAACAATGATAGTGGTCATCCAAATGGACAACATTTCTGGATTGTTTTTCAGGAGCTTTCTTAAAACAACAGCAGCAATGGCAATATTGTTTTTTTTATTTTTTTATTTTTCTCCATTTTCCAGTGCCTTCCTATTAAAATTCACTGGCATGAATTCTGGGGACTGCATAAAAGGACTTGGGGGACTTCTTGAAGTTTGCTCGATGCTAATCCCAGACAGTCAGTTTTAAAGACTGGCCAAATATGGGAGACAACGACATGGTTACAAAATTGTTCTTTCTTCCCGTTTCTAAAGGCATGGGAACATTGCTTTAAATATGAATGGTCCTCATTTTGACATTTACTCATTTTCTCTACAAGCACTTGATTGCTTTAAATCAAGTGGTGTGCATGCTTGTAGAGGAAATGTGTAAATGTGTAAACTGAAAAATTGCAGGCAGTAAGAGAACCTGGGAACATCATTCCAGACCCATGACAATGTAACTCACAGGTATTGGGGATTTATATCTGCTTAAAAATAAAAGGCAAATTTTTGCTTCATACCTTAAACAAGCAAACAAAAAAAGTCAAAGTAAAATAATTTATCTGAACATGTTTGTATGCTTACGTATGAAGTTTCATTGAACAAGTGAGATTTAATTTCAAGTAAGTTTGCACAAGATTGGTCTGGAAATAATCAGAACTTCTCCAGAAGTTCTAATAGGTGCTGGGCAAATTTAACTCCCTGAAATGTTAAATGAAATATTAAATACACATTCTGTTTCTGTATCAGAATAATATATATTCAGCATCTGAAACTCAATACACTGCAAAGTTCAAATAATTAGAATTGATAATGGTTCAGTGGATGATCCTTCTGATGTATAGAAAATCATCACAATAACACAATTTTTTAATCCCTAAATCCAAGGATTATTCAAGTAAACCATGCCTAATGAATAAACTCAGATATTTTTCTCCAACATTCTTTTTAAAACAGCACCTCAAGGTCAGTTACATTTTCCATATACCTTTTAACACAGAAAGGAAAAGATTTATGTGCAGACTTTAATTAATCTATATTAATTCAGAATTCATTTAAATATATTAAATAAAGGGATAAGAGGGACATGACATTTTAAATGAACAACAATAATCCAATTTATATTTTATAAGTCTATTTCATTTTTTAAACTGAAAGTAATATTTTCATGGGATATTGTTATCCACTTAGAGCTGAGTTCTACAGTATTTACATAAGGCACAATTCTATTAGCCCTTTGTATTTCACTTCTAAATCCTAAAGCGTTTCTACTAAATTTGTCCTAGAGATAACACCCTACAACCTTATTAGGTATTAAAGACTCCCAAATGAACACAGTCAGTACTGTGCCCAATAAGATTTTAGATATATTTCTTAAACAGCTGTACTCCAAGCCTCATACCATCTCCATAATGAAAAAATATTGAAAATCAGGCCAATTCAAAATAATATGGAATAGTATTCCAGAGGAGGAGGAGAGGACGATTCAAGCCCTGTGTGATACAAATTGGTTTTCTAGAAGTGACTATTGTAATGCTTCTTTGAAATAATGGGAAAGAGTCTCAGTTATGGCCAAATAGGACCTAATCCTAGAGAATCACCTGTCAAAAAGATGCATGGATGCCCCACTCTGTGAAGTTTTTTACACTGCCATGTTTATAGAAATCATCCCAGAAGCCATTTTGAGAATGCAAAACACCAGGCCAGAATTTTTTTAAACAAACTTCAAGTGCATGTAGTGACCTCTTCCTTAAACTGCACATCTTTGTGGGAGATGATGATTTGCAGAAGAATGATGTAGAGCACCAGTGACTTTTCTATTTCCTCCTCTGTGTTCCTGGTGCATATTTCCTTCCCAAAAGAAGGAAAAGCTCATAGGGTGGGAGTTACAACAAAAAGTGTAACAAAAGGTTAGCATTTTTCCTCACATTACACTTGTTCAAATTGCTCTCCCAGAACTGCTTTACCTACAAGCACCCACAAGATTGACATGTGTATATCTTTACATGGGTGTATACAGAGTACCCAAACTTAAATACGTTGATTTAAATGAATTTGTGTCTCTAAATCACTCAAGCAAAGTATTCTAAACTTATGAATAACAGAGTTGGTATACAAGGATCCATAGAAAACTCCTATAGCCAGGCTACACTATTCATTCTCAACCACTTATTCTCCAATCTTTTTTTAAAAAAATGATATATCAGCCAAGTTAGGGGACGAGCACATACATGAGTATATGCATTCTTAGAATATGTGTTACTTTGCCTTTTCTAAAAAGTATTTTTCTAAGAAGGACATAACTTTTTTTTTTTTTTAACAAATGTTTGAACATCACGAAGTATTATTTTGGGATTTATGTATACTTTATGGATCATATGAAGACAGCCAGTTTGATTTAGTGCTTAAGGTGCTGGACTTTGGAGTGGGAAAACCTGAGTTTTATTCCTGCCTTAGGCACGGAAGCCATCTGCATGACTTTGTGCCAGTCTCTCTCTCTCTCTCTCTTAGTCATAGGAAAAAAGCATTGGCAACCCACTTCTGAACATGTTTCCAAGAAAATAGCACAGATTTGTCCATGAAGTTACCAGGAGTCAAAACTGATGAAGGAAGGGACGGAGGGAGGACACTGTTTCTATAAGGGGGTAATTGATTTTACACACACACACGTCATCTTGAATGTCTTTAGTATTTATGTATTGGGTTTGTTTTATAGTGGATTTTTATGGATTGAGTAATTCAATTATGTATGGGGTATTTTAATACTTTATGAGCTTTTGATTTTTAATTGTGAGCTGCCCAGAGTCACCCGTTGGGGGAGATGGGCAGCATACAAATTTAATCATAAATAAAATAAA